ATTTTTGAAATATGCAGTTTTGTACAGCTCGACGAGCTCTATGGAACTCTATGGAATTAGTATCCAATTCCTGAAAATGTCTTAAATTCGACATTAAAAGGTCTTCATAACCTTTAATACCTAGTGCCAATAAATCCAGTTTTTGACGCGCTTTAATTTGGTATAAAATACATTTGTGATATCATTGATACTTTAAGTTGCAAAGGTAGAGGCAAAGGCTATGTGACACCCTGTAGATGATTTAAAAGATATCATAATGACTCAAATTTTATACTTGTGGACCGACAAACAAATTCACAAGTGTCTGTATCCCAAAACAATGTCCATGTAAAAAAAATCAGAAGTTTTTTTTCTTCGACTATAGGTCATTTCAAAAAGAGGATCTTGTAAAAATACAAGCCAATCGATTAAGGGCCCCTCTAGAAAAATTCAATTTTGGTCAAGCTTGTAGATTTTGTGATTTCTAGTTCGTTAGATAGAGCAAAGTGTCTATTGTCGAATGCACTATAGCTTATTGATTTTGTGATGAGATTTAAGGATGTAACATAGATCTTTCTGAACGTCCCACAGAAGAAAATAACGTTTTTTTCCAAAAACTTTTGGTTTTTTTCTCAAAATATTTAGGGAAATCCAAAAGTACTGGGCCTCCTATCTTATTTTCGTATAGACCATTTAGAAAAATCTTTCTTTTTATGAACAGATAGAACATATTTTGCTCTATCTTTCTATGCTATTTGATCACTATTCAATTGATATTATAATAATAAAATTATAATAAGAACTTGTTTTTGTGTAACTCCAATTGGTATCAAGAGTGCATACCGGATGGCCCAAAAGTAAGAAAATGGAAAACAAATTAAGTATCTCTATTACAGCTCGACAAAACGGGCTCATTTTTATATCAAGGCTAGAGGTCTGTTCACACTCTAAATCCATACGAACAAGGTTGGTGAGAATCTTTGTTAAGTATCATTAATGACCTCAACAAGAAAAGTTTACTTTTTCACAGATTAGAAAAGAAAAGACTATATTTAACAAAAGTTCACATTAACCTTGTCCGTATGGGTTTAGAGTATGAACATGCCTCTATCTTTGATCAAAATATCAGCTCGTTTCCTCTAGTCGTAATGAAGATATTCAATTTTCTTTTCAGGAAACTGACTTTTGAGTTACCCTGTACATTGAATTTTTCCTATTTGTGCTCTTCAGTATCATAAGTATCAGCCATTGTAGAATGATTATATTTAATTGATGCACCGAAAGGATAGATTTTTTTTATGAAAGATATTGATCAGAAAATGACCTTATGTATTGTTTCATAAACTTCTCGAACTTTCCTGTTCTATAACTTTCTAAGACAAGAAAAATAAAAAAATGTTTTTTTCTTCATCGTCATCACGAGGAATAGACAACAGAACGCAAAAGGAAAATCGCACCTTCTGAATCATAGATAGGTCTTATGCTCACTAGACCAGTGCTCTTTTCAATTTTTCCAAAGAATATTTCCTTTTCTTTTTGTCTTACAACTCACTAAAAATGAATTATAATGATTGCATTATGCAAAATTCTTTAAACTTCGACAGATTCAACATACGGAAGTTTCCATAATCCTTATTGTTTAGTACCAATAAACTCCATTTTTGACGAGTCTTCATTTGGTATAAAATTCATTATTAACTCTATTTGAAAATATAGTGGTACCTCCTATCAAAATATTATTTCCAACCTAGTACTTAATCGATTTGCTTGAACAAACAACATAAATAAAAGTGAATATTTTCTTTTTATTCCACGTAGGATATCTTAGGCCAAGATTGGAGTATTTCGTAAACAGAGTCGCCCAGGAGTTAGACCAAGTTAGACCAACATTTGACCAAGATAGGACTCGTCGAGTTCTATGAAAAAACCATGTTGGTCTAACTCCATTTGGCTTCTGAGCGAATCCGAACGGGTTTTTCTTAATCTTTTTTTCTCAGTATTTGACATTTTTTTCGAGGAAGAGAGTTGTTTCGTGAAAGTGAATAGTGCATCAGATAGAGCTCCTCGAGTTCTATCTTGGTCTAATATTGGTCTAACTTGGTTTAACTCCTGGCCGAATCCATTTACGAAATATTCCAATCCTGGCCTAATATATTGTACGTTTCTTTTTAAAACACATAGTTTTGCTCAGAATTCTATACCAATTCTAACCCTGTAACTTTTCCAAAAAATGTTGGGATGGAAAAACAGCTGTACCATTACTTGTCCTTTCAGTGAAAAGAATATCTATATTCGCAATACAGATTTATAGTGGATTATAAGAATAGGAGTAATTCTAATTGTGTTTATTAAACTATACTCGAAAGGTCTCATTGAACAGCTTATTTTCAGATTTCTATTTATTAAGACAATTTCATGACAATATATGATGCATACTTTAACAAACGATATGGAACACAAGCCATAAATTAACTTTTCTTGACGAATATTTTCAACCAAAACGAGAAGAATGATTGGTACCAACAGATGTGCAAAACTAAGTTTTTCATGCTGGCCAGTAAATATTTAGATCGTCCACAATGATCCATAAACGGCATCTCGTCGGTTGTGGTTTGTGGATAATCGTTGACGCTATGATTGCATATGAATGACGAAACATTTTCAAAAACGTTACTAGAGTGATCTTTATCATACATAATCGAATCCATATATTATTCCGTTTGTCAGACTCTTTTTATGATCACCTATTTTTAGATACCTCTATATACTCCAGACCGAAAAATATAGAATGAACCGATTGTAACTATCACAACATCTATGAGTTCATCATAGTGAATCTTCAGACGACCACATATGCACTTAATAACTGTTACCTACAATGAAAGTTTTCATATCTATGGCACGTGTTGCGTCATAATATATGCTCAATAAACTGATGAATATCATCTAATACCAAACATAAACAATGGTAGAATGAGTGAGTTTGTGAATGTTCTCATTGAAATAACATTTTCTTTAGCTTACATAGTACTCAAATTCCTTTTGTAGAACGCAAAAAAACTCGATTCTTAAGAATGTCTAATCGCCAATTTTCGTCATTGTTATCTACTCCTTTAAGTATAGTTTAACAAAAAGACTACAGTTTTCATAAACACTTCGTGTATCGATCAGACATGTACATCCAGATCGAGATGAACGAAGCGAGAACATATTCTAACCAGGCAAATGCAGTCGAAAAAAATGTCATCTAAATGCGGAATATAGAAAAAATCATGTCAATCAAATGCTGATATTCTTCTCATGGCCCAAAGAACGTATGAAAATTTTAGAAATAGAAAATTTTTAAAGAATAACGTGAAAATGAGTTATGAAGACAATCTTATCATTCATAAGATGATATAGAAGAATTAGAGAAAACACTCAACGATAAAACTAGTTGGAAACAATTTTCATCGTCACTCTCACCTGTAACTTCTTCCATTTTAGAACTGATGATTACGATTGTAACTGTATTGATTGCCACTGATAAACAAGCTTAAGAAGCAGAATTATATAGAGTTTAAACATTAAACTAGAATTGACATGAAGCCGATACTCAAATTGAATCATTTGAACAAAGGTGGAAAAAAAAAGTAAAAATTATTCTTCAAATGAGTTAAATAATTCTTATGAAAATAAAAAGAATTTCATTCATATTCAAATTCTTTTTCCCCATAGAAACAAAACAAATCCACCCAGAAAAACTTCTTTTTTAATGATTGCTGATGAATACAAAACATATCAAAAATGTTCGCGAATATTCTATATCTTTCTATCATCTTTAGTCAAGATGGTACTAAATTATTTTCTTCGATATCAATCGATAGTTCTTCTTTCGATGGCATTCAACAAACTTGATATAGATATTTCTGTCAATCGTTTCTAAGAATATTTTTAAAAGTAGGTATAAGAATTTCCGTTTTGTTTTCGTGCTTATTTGTCTAACACACATTTTCGTTTTCTCATTCGATTATCGAGAAGAAAAATAAAAGTCATTTTTATTGATGCTGTTTTCAGTTGATATGATATCGAAGACAAGCTGACATTCATTTTGCCTCTATAGATCACACTCGATGGAAATGAGTGACATCCATCTTCATTCTTAATTATAATTAAGAGAGGCCAACGACAGACATAGTCATTTAGTGATGATCTTTGATCATCTTCATTTCAATAATATTGTGTTTTGAATTTGAAAAATGATATACTAATATTATTCTTGTTAAAACTGATTACGATGTCGAAGTACTCATAGTTTAATGTAAAGAAATACATAAGCATCAACATGTCTTTACTTTCAACATCTGTACGCTTCTTTATATTTGTTCATTGAAAGTAGAAAATAAAACTCGTTGGATTCTCTTTTCTTAGCAATTGATGGAAGATAGATAATTTAAATCGAATTCAAGACATCTGTTTTTCTTGTTTTGTTTTTCTAGTGAAAGATTCTCTTTGAATGAAATAATCCCTTAATTAGAAAGTTTGAATAATGATGAAATTATTCAAACTCGAACCTTGTTTGCAACTGGAGTCAGAATTTGATTATAAATAAATGTATTATTTTCTGTAGATCTAGATTTCTTTTTTTTTTATTTAATTTGTCAATACAAAAGAATCGATGGCCGCGAAAAAATCTACAGGTATTTATAGTTATTCCAAATTTTGTTTCGTTTGAATAATACTGTTCGATCTATTTTTGTTTTTTTTCTTAGATATGATGAACAACTTGAAAGATCTTAGTGATTTTGTTAATCGTTTACCTATCTCAAGTAAAACACAAAATGAGATATATGGTGCACTTGTTCAAATGGTTCGTGGTTCATCATCAATCAATGATACAATTCAAGTACTCAAACAAGTTCAAGTTGTCCCCATCAATGAATATGTATGTGAAATATCATATGACGAAGTTCGAGAAAATATACAAGAAAAATTAAGTCATTTACTTGATGAATGTTGGTTGATGGTTCCTGAAGAAAACGCCGTACTATTTCATGAAGCATGTCAAAAACTTCGAGAAATTTTTAATGATATATGTAGCACTCTTTCAAAACAAGAAAAGGAAATCAATTATTTGAAAAACCAAGTGGAATCCATGCAAACTCCACAGGATGAATTATTAGTTGGTTCTGTCGCAACGCAGTTGATTGTCAAAATGAGTCGATTTGGTGATACTAAAGAACATTCAAGCATTGCTGCATGTCGAACAGTGTCAATGATAATGGCACAAGCACATGTCGAACAGTTGAAGTCATTTCTAAATATTAATGGATTTAATTTCGAAGAAATTTGCTTAGCAATACAGGTGCTCAAAAGTAACCGTAATTCTGCAACATATCCAACTGATCCATCAACATCTTCATTAGATATTAAAAATGCTATTGATCGTTTATTTCCCACAATATCACATCCAAAACGAACAATAGCTCAAAAAGCTCTTAAAGTACTTGAAATTTTGTCCCAAGAATTAAAAGAACCATTGTTTCTTAAAACAGATTAATATGTTTAAAAAATAAATAAAAGATTTAGAAAATATTTCGACTAAACTAATTCATTTCTATATCTATAACATTTTAGATCTTTGAAATCTTCAGATAATTTTGTTAAGTTAAAATAATCAAAGTTTCTATTCCGATTGAATTTCTATTGTAATAAATTGTTAAAAAAGAAAAATATTCAATAAAACTTCACTTATCAGTATACAATAAGCAGACTTCTTTATAAATAAATATTAATCTTTTGAAGCAAAAGAAAAAATATATCTGCCTTATGATATGTTATGCGTTCAAGAGTGATTGATTATTAATTCAATTAAATTTCATCAAAATCTATTCTTGAATTCGACTCTCTTTATTTTTTTAAGTATTCTACATGAAATAGAATTTTTAAAACTGAGTATAATTATTGATTGAATTAACTTGATGAACTGAATTAAATATTTGAACTGACTTAAGAAGATTAATTGTCTATATATATATCGAAATATAATTTGATCATGAAAATCATTAGCTCAAATTCATTTTGAAACTAGTCTAATTATTTTAATCGTTTGCATTAGGGATGCACCGGTGACGATTCACCGTTCACCGGTCTCACCGGTCGATCGATTCACCGTCCACCGGTTCACCGGTCGGTACGGTGAACCGGTGAACCGGTGAAACCGGTGAACGGTGAACCGGTGGACCGGTGAGACCGGTGAACGGTGAACCGGTGGACCGGTGAGACCGGTGGACGGTGCACCGGGGTACGGTGGGCCGGTGGGACCGGTGCACCGGTCACTTTTCTGTATTTCGGTGTCTCTCCTATACGGTACATCTCAGTAACTCGAGTACTTAATTTTCTTAGAAGAAGTGATCCCTCGTCCTAATTAATTTTGGGGAATATTGATCAGAACTTTGGCGTTAAACAGAGAATCGAGCTGATAAGGTTGTAAAAGGCCATAATGGAGACTGGCATATTAGTACTACTGAAAGCATTCAGTCTTCTGTTGTCTGAGTAATACCGGAAACCGGTGATCATCGCAAATTTTCGTAGTTCTATATGGACAGTATTGATATTGACTAGAAATACAACGGTGTAGGTCATTTCACTGGTGAAAACCGATAACTATACCAATGGTTGCTGCTACAGTTGCAATCATTGTACCTAGGTTTTTCGATGCAATTGCGCTAATCGTACTAATGGTTACTGGTACATCTAAGATCACTTTATATACGGTTACGGATCTAACTATCATCACGGATACTAGAGTTATCAATCTAACTACAACAGCCGTAGCTATGCTTACCAATCTAATTACTATCATCTAAGTTATGGTTACTCGCCAAACTACGATTATTGTAAGTAAATCTATTGGTGCAGCTACGATAAATGCATCTACGGTTACCACTTCAATTATGATTGCCGCATTGATAGTTATCAACAAGATTATATAACCATGCGTATGGTCACCGGTATAACTACGATAAGCATACCTACGGATACCGATCCAAGTACAATAACTGTTTTTACCGTTAGTTGTCAAGCAAGGAGTATCATAGGTACGACTGATAGTCCAATTGCGATAACCGCACTTACAGCTACCGGTCTAACTACGATCCTCCTAGGCACAGTTATTAGGTCAAAATGAGTGCCACGAGAAACAACACTTTTAAGAGAGTACGGTTTTTATAAAGGTTAGCAAAGTAAACAGGCGCTGAAGAGTCTGAACTCAAAGTCAGTCTTTGAATATTTCAAACTGAAGTTTTTAGATTAAGTGAGTGTTTATTATGAAAGTAACTATTTCCTTGATAGGTTGACGAATGGAAATGCAACTTGACGCATTCGACTCTAATACTTAAAAAACTATAGCATTCATCAAGGAACCATTTTATTGATAATTAGAACGTAGAACCTTGATAAATTGACATCAGATTCAAGCTTCTGGAAATCCATTCACTTTCGTTACTCTTTATTAAATATCAGCATCTTCTTAAAAAGCCTTTCCTTAGTGTCCGAAGTCAAATTAACCATTTCTAAAATTTGAATTCAGATCCAGATTTTCTGATCATGGTCATCTTTCTTCAACTTTCATAGGAATTCGCTAGTGTATTAGAAAATACTATATTTCACGAAAGCCCTCTAGAACTGATAATTGTACCTATGGTTATCATAATTGACTCTGAAATCGTAGGTACGGTTTTCTTAGTTGTAGCAATAACCGTACCAATGGCTCACATAGTGAACCCGTAACAATACCTAAGGTTATCGTCATCGTTGTCTCACTAACATTCATAGCGATAGTCGAAGCTATACTCCTTACTAGACGGTACTATAACACATAAAGCATTTCCTTCATACTTGATGACTGTGATTCAATTAAGAAAAGGGTCAGCGGAACCATGAAAACTTATGCCAATCTCTAATGTAACAGCACCAATGATTGATGCAAGCATGTAGGTGCCTGAAAAATGATCAAAATCGACCATATCAGTGAGCTCCTAATATTCTTACCTGCCATGCTCGCCTTAAAATCTAGGATTGAAACCGTGTTCTTGATTTGAGAGTGTAGTCGCCAGTGGCGTAGCCAGGAATTTTTGAGTAATGGGCAATTCATCAGCCAAACTATTTTGAGTTACGGGCAGCTAAGGGCAACCGTTATGATTTCAAAAATATCTATGGGCAATAACTGTTCAAGCACTGCATAGCTCAATAAATCCATGGGCAATAACTTTTGGAGCTATGGGCAATTGCCCAATGGCCCTACCCCTGCCTACGCCACTGGTAGTCGCATTCGAGACACTTATGCAGGAATATAATTATCAGGCTAACGAGGTAGTCGGTATAAAAATGAAGACCTACAGTGGTGGCTGCTAGACGAATATTGTCTGTTATGTTGAGCCTGAACTAGTCAATAAAATTCTTTGAATCTGCCATACTAATAGGTTTCCACTCTCTAATTTCCATTATTAGCATTCATGTTGACAGTCAAAACTGTAACGTCGATTGGAGGAATTATGTGATTGCCAATCTTCCTTTTCGCCAACTGGCTGAAATTCGCTAATTGGCGAATATACTAACGAAAAATGGTCTAGTTGTAGCTGACTTGATGTGGATATGGGTGCGGGTGCAAGTCTGAGGGTTGTATATGCGCTTAACCTATACTCATACCCACGATCCATACACATCCTATAATACTTAAATATTCTATCATCAATTTAGCTGGGCCATAATTCTACGGATTAAATTTGGCGAAATACACACTAGCGACTCGCGAATTGATCAATACATTATGACGAAAAAAGTTTATTGGCGAATTTCACACTGGGAATTCGCCAAATTGGCAAATTTCTCCATGACAGTCGCCCATTGGTAAACATACTAAGGCAAAAATAAATATTTTTTGATAAATTTCATACCAGAGATTCACCTATTGGCGAATGTCGCAGGGAAATTCGCCACGAGTGAGTGCACTGTTGGCGAAATTCCGAATAGGTGAACTTACAGAGAGACAACTGAGTGTACGACAAGACCGATAATAAAAAATCTTTTCCAAGATGTGCATGACTACAAAGCTAATAATAGAATCGATAGGGTGACCAATGTCTACGGTGATGGTGAGTAAATGGACACTGCTGGTTACCCTGAGGCTTCATAAATCTGAAAATGCTAGAAACCATCTATCACCGTGGGTCTCCGCTCTAGTAACGGGCATTCTAGGACTACATGGTAACCCTTAAAAGTATATGATTTACAGCGATGCATTATCGTATATGAAAGCTTTTTTCCTAAATCAGTATGATAGCGATGCCAGTTTTATGACCGATATTGTCACAGGAACCTACGGTGATGATGGTTGCAAGGGCATTACTGATTACTCTGAGCATCAATAAGCTTGTCAAATGCTTCAAAGCCGTCATCGCTCTAGGTTCCTGCTCTCTGACCAGCATTTCAAAATTTCATCATGATGTACAAAACTATATATTTGAGTACGCAGCGATACATCATGTGAAAACTTTTTCCAGAGACTGTCTACGACGTTAGTTAGACGACTGACAGATTCACGAAATCATACGATAGTGATAACTAGTTTACCATTACTGGTTCCTCTGGTCTTCAGTGAGTCTGTGAAATATTAGAAGCTATCTGCTACTGAAGGTCTCCGCTCTCCGAACCAACATGACTAGGATTAATGGTAGTGCGTAAAAACACGTAATTTAGATCTGCTCACTATAGCAGATGAAAATTTTCTTCATCGATGAATGTGATAATCATGCCGGTTATGGCACCGATAGAGTCAAGAAAACTTCCGGTGGCGGGCATTAAAAGCGTACTGCTGGTTATCCTAAGCTTGATGAGTCAATAGAATGTTATAAACCGGCGATCACCGTACATTCCTGATATTTTAAAAGCTATTGTTGACCTTAAAAGTGTTTGTTGACGCGGCATACCTAAGTTTTTTGTATAAGCATCTTTCATACTCAGATAGCCTTGCGCTAACGAGTATCAGCTATATGAGCATCCTAATGTTATCTGGCGTACGCCTACAGCCCGCATCGTATTGAAGGAGCGATCAGCATACAAAAAAATTTTATTAAATTTTGTGAAGTATGCCGATAAATTACAGAAAGTAGACGAATATCAAATATATGTGCTCTTCTCGATTAAGAGATGGTCAGTTTCACTTTTAATTGGTCTCAGTTTCAACTGAGTAGCTTTATTTGTAGTATATTATGAGCGGTGCTTACGGTGCTCGTATACCGGTGGAACGGTGAACGGTGCACCGCTACGCCGGTGACCGGTCCACCGGTATCACCGGTTGGTACGGTGCACCGGTGGACCGGTGAAACCGGTGAACGGTGAACCGGCGGACCGGTGAGACCGGTGAACGGTGAACCGTAGACCGATCACACCGGTGACCACCGTCACCGTTGCATCCCTAGTTTGCATTATTAGTTAATATGTTTGTATCAATGATAGATTGATTGTAGACGTCATGGCTTTGAAAAGATTTTCATTGAA